TACATAGTCTTACTATTCAGAGATAACTACAACTAATATTTTGGCGTGTGCCTTTCCAATCTCTTTTCTATGTGTATTTACTTCCAAAAATTTACCGGGGCTCATATTATACACATTGTCTCATAATCTGCTTTGTGCACTTAATAATATTGTGAATATTTCCCCATGTCATTATTTATTCTTATATAACACTAGCTTTAATTGCGGTACAGTAGGACAGTCTATGAATTCATTTAAATAATTTGCTATTCATTAATACTGAATTTTTCCCATTACATAAATAATATATGCCAATGATCTTTACTGCTTAATCTTTGTGCATGCCCTCATTCGTCCCTTAGAAGTGAAATTGATGGCTCAAAATTATTTTTTTAAAGTTTTGATGCAAATTGTCAAATTGCTCTGCAAAACATATGGACCCACACTCCTGCTAAAAGTGTTCAGGAGTAACTGCTCCTCTACGCCACATTTTACCTGTTAGCGATGTGTGAAATTTGAAGATGAAATATGATATCAAATTATAATTTGTGTGCCTTTGCTTGCTAACGAGGCTAAAATTTTTAAAAATATATATTTTATTGATTTTTTTCAGAGAGGAAGGGAAAGGGATAGAGAGTTAGAAACATCGATGAGAGAGAAACACCGATCAGCTGCCTCCTGCACACTCCCCACAGGGATGTGCCCGCAACCAAGGTACATGCCCTTGGCCGGAATCGAACCTGGGACCCTTGAGTCCGCAGGCCGATACTCTATCCACTGAGCCAAACTGGTTAGGGCAATTTTTTAAATTTGTAAATGTTTCTTGGACCCATGCAATGACTTTGTATAAAGCTGTGCTCAGGATCTGGAGTTGGCCGGTGCTTATTGGCTGGTAAGCTTAGGAAAGCCGCCTTGTTTTTCTCAGCTCCAGTATTTGCATTTGTAAAAAGGAATAATGGCAATATCTACCCTCCAGGGTTGCTGTGAGGAGGAAATGAGACAGTGCAGACAAAATGCTCCTGGAATATGAGGGCACGCAAGAAATGGTAGGTTTTTTCTCCCTTTTTGGGAGCCCTATTTTCCCTAGGTTTTTGTCTTTTTTTCTATTTGTAAAAATCCCTGTGTCTTTAGTGGCAATGCCACTCCAAACCACACAGGATAGTAATACTAACTAACATTCGTTTAATACTTACTATAAACCTGGCACTGAGATACTTGCACTGCATACAGTAGGTCAATAAATTCTCAGAGCTATCTGATTTCTATTTCTTTTTTATACATACTAGTGTATATATTATACACACACATATGTTTTTTATTGATTTCAGAGAGGAAGGGAGAGGGAGAGAGAAACATCAATGATGAGAGTGTATCATTGATTGACTGCCTCTTACACACCCCACCCTGGGGATTGAGCCGGCAACCCGGGCATGTGACCTGACAGGGAATCGAACTGCAACCTCCTGGTTCATAGGTTGAGGCTCAACCACTGAGCCATGCCGGCCGGGCCTGATTTCTATTTCTTCATTGGCCCTCATAGCTGAACAATTCCCAAGTACTACGGTATTCGTTTACCAATTTGCCCAAACAGGCCCTTCCTTTCCAGGGCAGTTTAGAACTAGTGAGATCGCCTCTGAACTGGACTCTATAGGGAATCGAACTGCAACCTCCTGGTTCATAGGTCGAGGCTCAACCACTGAGCCATGCCGGCTGGGCCCTCATATCTGAACAGTTCCCAAGTACTACAGTATTAGTTTACCAATTTGCCCAAATAGGCCCTTCCTCTCCAGGGCAGTTTAGAACTAGTGAGATGGCCTCTGAACTAGACTCTACAAGATCACTGTTAGAGATATAAACGCCAGAAAAATTATCATTTTACCATTGCAATAGGATGACAAAAGCCAGAGTAATTTTTATAAAGTTCGGAATCTGCAATGTTCTGAATGACCCAGCATTCAAACCCCTCCATAATCTGTTTCTGGCCTATCTGCTCAGCCACGGCTCCCCGCCTTCTACCTTTTCTCTGCAACCCCACCTTGACACACACACACACGCACACACGCACATGCACACGCACACGCACATGCACACACACACACGCACGCACATGCACACACACTCCATCCAAACACATAATCCCAAGTTCTCGCTACCTGGCTCTGTGGCCTGTGTTTTATTCATTTCTCCCGCACATTCTGACAGCATCTCTATGTTCCAGGCACTGTCCTTCAGGCTCGCCCCCATCCCATTCTCTGTGCACATCCTACAGGTTATGTTTCTCTCTCCCACTAAATGCTGAGCCCATGGTGGCCAGGAATTGTCTTTCTTGCACAGTGATTAGCTCAGCTTCTTGTGTATTTGTATGTAATCAGTAACTGTCAGTATCTCTGGGCAGAAAGTCAAGCCCAGAGGCTCAGGTGAGGGGACAGGATTTACCCTGCAGGGATATGCGAGCAGGGGTAGGTAGAGAACAGAATGGCTACTCACAGAGGTTCTATAGCCAAGATAAGAGAAGGGGCAAAGCCCAGAGGCTCAGGTGAGGGGACAGGATTTAACCTGCAGGGGTATGCGAGCAGGGGTAGGTAGAGAACAGAATGGTTTACTCACAGAGGTTCTATAACCAAGATAAGAGAAGGGGCGAAGGGATAGGAAAAGGAGCAATAAGTGATGGAGAGGTACTAACTTTCAATCCAAGAAAATTACCCTATGATTTTTAGTCATTTATCTACTAGATAGACCCGTTTCCCTAAACAGGAATGATGAGGTGAGGACGGAAAGAAAAGGATGCCTCTGTGCGGTATCTCTGTCACTCCTCCCACACCACCAGCAAGTAGATGTGCTATTCCCACTTAAAGGAACTGAGGTCCAAGGATGCGAAACCACTTGGCTAAGGTCCTATGGTGAGATGATGGAAGAACTAGGATTCCCACCCAGTCTGTCTGGCTCCAGCATCTTTCTTATTTTCTATACAGTCTGAGGCTAAAGGAAGAAAAAACTGAACCCTATCTGGACTGTCTCTCAAACCCCAGCCATGAACTCAGTCAACAGTTCCCACAAATGCCTTTTCAGGATCCCCAGCCAGGGCCCCTGTGGGTCCCATTTAAGCAGCTGGGCCTGATGAGTTACTCAAACACCAAAGCAGGATCTCTCCGAGTGAATGAGCCACATGGCCATTGTCTCTGCTCTCTTGTCTCATTTAAGCACAGGGGATATCGGCAAGCAGGCAGGTCCTCTTTAGCCATTGCCCTCAGCAAACGGGATTAATCCCTGCATTTCTCACCACCATTTACTGAGGAGCAATGACCTGCCCCGAGATATTCGGTGCCGGATGGCAAAGTTACTCAACATCTAGATTTCCTGATTTGTTCTTCCTTTCACCCTGTCCTTTTTAGCTGAAGATCAAAGGCCTTGTTGTTCAGAGGCCTTCCTAAAAATAGGAGGCCGTTCTTCGCTGGGAAGTCCAGGCTTAGTTCAAAGAGGTTGCTCTTTTCTGGTATCCTTTGTTGTGCTCCCTTCCTACACCCCCGTCTCCCTTCGCTGTTCCTGTCTCTCCTGCCCACTTATCTGTTCTTCATTCTATCATTCAGAGTGAGTCCATTTCAATGCAGTGCTGCATAGTACTCACCACCTGTTCCTTCCTCTCCATCTTATCCGGGCCTTGTTCTTCTGGCAAGTATTTACTGAGCATCTCCCAGGTGCCAGGTTCAGTGCCAGCAGCTGGTCCCCACACTATCATTTCTGACCATCACAACCGCTTCCTGCTGTAGGATCCCCCTGCCTGGAGGTTTCGCTCTGACTCCACCTACTGCATCCTGCTGCCCAATCTTCCTGAAACTCTGCTTTGTCAACAGCCTTCTCCCCCCGTGCGCCCGCAGGATTAAGTCCTGCTTATTAGCTCTCTTCTTTGTGCCCTCTCGATGCCTTTTAGACATGTTTCTTCGCTTACAATCTACATTCTACTGTCTCCTTTCACTTGCTCCCCAGCATGCCATATAGATGTCCACTCTGAGTCTCACAGCTCTTTGAATTTCCAAATTCCACTCAATATGTATTTAATAAACATCTTGGGACAAACTTAGTGCTGGGATGACAGAGGATGCTGCCCAACTAATGGGTTCTGGTTAAGGAAGAGAAGCGTCCTCATCACACCCATCCCTACGCGGAGTCTGAATGATCCAGAGTTAGGGATGAGAAGCAGTACTAACCATTCTGTCTGGAGAAGTCCAATGACCTAAGGAACATCAGGCCCTTGACCCAAGGTGCTGCTAGGATATGAGTTTCTTGGATCCCTTGCTAAATTCTGAGACAAGACATCCAATCAACTCATTCTTCCATTCACTCAGCCATTCAACAAAATAGTTATTGGGTACCACCTATGTGCTAAGCATTGCGATGAATGCTTAGGGGAAAAAATAATTCTTGCCCTCATGGAGCCTTTAGTAGGAGACACAGACATAAAACACATCAATAAGTGAGAAAATAAAGAAATAAAAATGTGGGAGAAGTGTTAATAAATAGAGAAATAAAGTGCGGCAGAGTGGGATAGGCTGACTGGGGAGAGGAGGCACTCAACCAAAGTCCCTCTGAAGGAGAGACATTTAAACTAAGATCCAAAAGAGGAGAAGCCAGGCACTCAAAGTGACATGCCAGGCTCTTGAACAGCAAGTGCATAGGTTCATCACACACACATGCACACAGCCACACTGGGGCTAATTCTCGGTAATTCATTTGCCCACTGAAGATGTCCAGCTCTTTCTATCACAGTTAAAACAGCTTTTTTTTGATTAAAAAAAAATAGGTAAGACTTTTGGTTTATGGGTCTCTCAAATGACCTATATATATATATATTTTTCTACTTTGCTCTACTATTTATTTCCAACTCAAATTTACATAGTATTTCCAGAACCCAGTACAGCACTCTAGTGATCCTCATCACTCTGTATATTGAAAATAGAGGTTTATCGCTCTTTAAAGTTGGTATACAGCAGCTCTTAAGAAAATCTAGAAGTTGCTTTCCATACCTCGTTGATTAACTGGATCTTTAGCTACGTAGGCAACATAGTCGGTAGTATCCTATAAAAAAGGGAAAATGATTGCATTTAAAACAAATGGATTGTACTGTTGAACGATAAGAGTACATTTAGGACATGATACTAAGTCAAGGACTTAAATATTAAGGTTTCTTTGTTGAAGAAAAAAGGAAAGCATCTCAGGAGGGAACATAAATATACACTTATATGATTTAGACATTGTGGGGTCCACTTTCTCTGCCCTTTGTGGAGAGAATCTGAAGATTAAAAATTTAGAGGCAGACCATGTCACTAAGAATAAAAGAGAATACAGGTAGGTAATATGCTAGGGCATATATTCTTAAAAAATGATCAGGGGCTGTGACTCTATCCTGTGTTGAGTCAATACCAGGGGTGACCCAATCACAAAGGTGTCATAAACTTGGATGTGGGTGGCATCATGATGTCCCAGTTGTCCAAACAGACACCATGAGCATCAGAAAATAATTCTATTGAAGAAACACCTTCCATTTTGTGGTTGTTGGCTTGCTTGCGTGCAGTGCACATTAACTTAAGGAACAATAAAGCAGAAATACAAGCATTTATTTGATCGAGATAGAGGAAGGAAAAGTCCTTTATTAAAAAGGAGAACCCATTAAAACCTAAGGAGTTAGAGAGAGAGGGAGAGAGAGAGAGAGAGAGCGCGATGTGTGTGTTGCTGGCTCTGTAAAAACTAACAAACAAAAAGCCACTTGGTAATTCTACTTTTTATTGAAAACAGTAAGCTGATGAATGATAACATTTGAATAATTAAAGATGCTTTTTGTTATCTCTGTTCTCGGGGAAAAAATACACACTGTCATTTGAAGATTAGAAGCACGACTCTCTGGAGGGAAGATGCAATCAACTGGCAGGAAATAAAAGCCCGTGTCTGTGATTCCACCAAAGACAATCATTTAATAACCCGCAGTGAATCATACAGGAAGCGGATCTCAGGATCTGCATAACGTTTCTTGAGTCGTTTTAAAAAACAACACACTTCTAGGTAAAGTTCTCTAATGCAAACAGATAAAAGGTTTGAACTGTCTTGTAAATATGGAAGTTCATGTCTCCAGGCTTTGTTTTAATATAATGTAGAAGGAAGGCCACAGTTGCTGGGGGCTCAGCTGCTCTTTTGAAAGTTAAAGAGGCCCTGTGGTGCCAACAATGGTGTCTGGCATATTGGATGAGGGGGCAGAGGTCGTGGGAACCTCTGCAGACCCATTTCCTCATCTTCAACGGAGTGTCCAACAGTCTCTGAGTCCTAAGATTCAGTAACTGTGACTATCCGGGAGAACTTAAAGCATGTGAAAAGCAAATAGCGGGGGCACGATGAGATAATGTATTTAACCTGGTCATACTCGTTAACGCATTTTTGAAATGGAGAAAGTATATGGAGCTACAGAAGCGTCCCGGAGAAATGTCTCCAGGGCTGACAGAAGGAAGACAAGCCGTTTTTTGAGAAGAGAGTAAAGGTGAGGGTGAGCAAAGGTCAGGGAGGAAGAAAGAACACCCAGTATTTGTTAAACTATGGAAAAAATAAGGTAGAAAGAAGGGCACTACATTAGGCCATGGCGACTTGGCTTCTACCCCTTGTGCCCAGTCAGCTGTGAAGTGGTACATTATCTCAGTGAGTGTCCTAAACAAATATGGATGTGTTAGCAATATCGGTGATAGCTCTCTCGCATCACTCTGTGCCAAGCACCGTCAGCTTACATGCGTCATTTCAGTCAGTTCTCACCCTTCTGGGCAAGGGTGATCCTCCCCATTTTACGGGTGAGGGCCCTGCAGCTTAGAGAGGATAAATGGGTCAAGTCTACTTGACTCCAGAGCCTCTACTCCTCTACTCCCCTGACTGAGGGTAAACTTCACTGGGAGGGTAGACTTCACTGCTCCTGCCGGTGTTTCTGAAGGCTCCAGTTTTAATTTCCAACCAGCAGGCTGCGGCCCCCGCTGTAGGGAGCACAGAAGGCCCACGCCATTCAGTAGGTAAATGCTGTCCCAGGGGCTACAAGTTCTTTGCTGTCTGTTTTTGGTAGGGCCACGCCCCTTGGTGGGCTGAAAGAGCTGCAGAACTAAAGGCACATGGACGGTCTAAAAGTAATGCGGATCCTGGAGAACTACGATCAGCACCCGCAGGGCATGCTTACGGTAAATGCTTATGGGAAATCCTAAAAGTGACAGGAACCCTTTCAAAAGGGGAAACTTAAGGCAGACAGCAACGCTTGTTTTTCACACGGCACCTATAGAACTCATTACTTTAAGTATCTTAAGGAACGTATTGGAGTTCTCTCATGGATGATCAAACTAGAATGGGTGTGAGAGAGAAGAGACGGGGCTGGCGTTTCCAGGCTGGATTCAGTACCAAACGTGTCCCTTCGTGTCGCTGGGAGGCCAGATGATAAAGTTGGATAGATGGGGCTTCAGATTCAGGATCGGGGGTCACACTGCAGCTGGTAGGTGGCAGGCACCCTGCATGTCCCCTGCTTGCTAGTGAATCTGCTGTGAGCCCTTTGTGAAATCTCCCGGGGAAAAGGTGGAACTCTTATCATCTGGTTTATTTTTAAATGGTGGCACCATGGAACTAAAATATTCATTTGAAAATAACTACACCTAAAGCTAAAAGGTGAGGAAGTAGTGAAGCCTAATGGGGAAATTAAGTACTTCTTCAGTAAAAGAAAAGAAGCAGTGATTTAAAATCCTGTAAGGGTTGCTTTTCTTCCATATGCTTCAAGGATGCTCTGAAGGCAAGCTGTCTACATTTGACATGGTTGAACACTTGGAGGCACTGGTAGCCAATGGGGAAACAAGTAGTTATTGAGATGTTTTAAAGAATGGGCCGATTTAATAGCATTTAACTATGTATTTTTATACATAAAATGTTATGCCAACACCCAAGAGAAGGAACTTGCTTAAATACATGAGAAGCCAGTACAGGAAGCAATGATTCTACACAGAACCTTCAAAACTTCATTTCCTTTCAGGAGAGACTTATTTTTCCTTTAAATATTTGACCTCAACATTAAAATCAATCAAAACTCTGCAGTGACAACAGCTACCAGATTCAGTGTTTACTACCATTCGATACCTCTCTTGGGTTTCTGGGTTATGTGTCCTATCATTTATGACCCTAAATTTCATTCCTCAATTGAAGAGAGAAGGTAAATGTGGTGGAGAGGAAAAAAATCATCTGTTCAAGTGGATGTATTGCCTCATTTCTGAAGGCTATGCTCTTCAATAATAAATGCAGAGAAGAAGATAACGTATTCTTGGTTAAGGACCAAGTCTTCACATGGTCCCCATGCTTTCCTGAGGCTATGCTCTTCAATAATAAATGCAGAGAAGATAGCGTATTGTCGGTTAAGGAACAGGTCTTCATATGGTCCCCATGCTTTCCTGACATGCCTGATGGTCAGTCATCATGAAAGTCAGACTCTGCCCTCCTCGAGCCTTCTACATGTGTGCAGGTAGAAAAACGTCACGATGCCAAGAGGAGCAAAGTCCTCCTTGTACTCTCTCAGTCGAACAGATTTGTTTTCTGTTCAGCCACAGGCTTCTTAGCTTTAATGCCCTTCTCCTTCTGCCGTAGTCCAGAAATGGCGCAGCACCAAATCAGGGCATGACTCGCCCCGCTGCACCGTAGGCTTGCAGAGAGCACTGCTGGCTCAGCCCTGAGCCCTTCACGGGAAATGAGCACCATGTGGCCTCCTGGTAGCGAGAAACGGCAGTTCTCTCTCCCCACCGAGTGTCACCTCCATAAGCTTCTGCGAACCTGGCTGCTCGTTTTAGATTGCACTTATTTGCCATGGATGGCAGATAGGCTCCCCCTCATATGCCAAACCTAACTGATGAGTAGCATTTGCCTGGAACTCTATGTGGAGAAGAATTCTGAGGGAGGAGGGGCAACACATGTATGACACGTTTGTGTTTCATGACTTTGATGTTACCTGCAAGAAGCTTCTCAGATGATTAACTCCCTGGCTATTCGCTCGCCTACTAATCCAACTATTTTAAAAATCAGTGGTAGGATATATTTTGTCAAACCCAACTTTTTAATTACCTGTTACATGTAGCTATTCACAAATTCTAATAAGATATTTGGAGAGGACATGTAGTGGCTAACATGCTTCACATGGAAGTTCTTATAACTCTTACAAAAAAGGACTTTAATGAATCCATACTTACAGGATCCCCTCCAGAGGCAAATGAAATAGACTGCATATGATGATTGGCAATAATCTGGAAAACATAAACAAATTAAACATGTATGATGCTATAAATTTATTACTCCTAGTTACATACAACCTAACAGTAATGGACATGCACTTGCTTGGTTTTTGCCTGGACAGCATCCCCATGGAAACCACTCCACCCACATTTTATAATAATCTCACTCAGACCATGAGATTTCAGGTGGTTTCGACATGCCTATCTCATTGCCTCTCTCCTTGCAGGTGGACACATGACCCAGGCCTAGCCAATCGGGAAACATCTGGATGTAGCAGAGCCAATCTAAGTCTTTGGGGGAGAAACTGATATGGACAATAGGAAAGGATACATCTCTCTCTGCCATTAGGGACCATGTCAGCCCAAAGCTTCGGTGAGCTATCTTTTGCTGGCATGTGGGAAAATCCTACTGGAAAAATGAAGCTCTTCCTCTGGAGAAAATCAGCTGACAATTGGAAAATAGAAAAAAATAAGACGGACAGCTGTCAGAGGGTGGGGGTGGGAAGGCTGAGTGAAAAAGGTGAAGAGATTAAGGCAAAAAACAAAACAAACACCGCATAGACAACAGTATGGTGATTACCAGGGGGAAAGGGGATGGGGGAAGGTAAGAGAGGGTAAAGGGGGTATAAATGGTGGTGGAGGGAGACTTGACTTGGGGTAGTGAACACACAGTACAATGTACAGTGATGTATAATAGAACTGTATACCCACAATACAATATACTGATGATGTATGATAGAATTGTACAACTGAAACCTATATAATTTTATTAACCAATGTCACCCCAATAAATTCAATAAAAATAAACAAATACATACATTCATACATACATACATACTTTGGTTGTAACATTTGTTTCATCATTTCAACCAATACAATTCCTGTCCCCCTTTATCATTTTTCTAATTTATTTTTATATAAATTGGTTTGAATTGGATTTTCAGTCATTCACCACCAAAAGTATCCTAAGAAATTAACACTAAGATTTCCAATATGAAGTAACATTATTCAAGTGAACTGCATTATTTAACTAAGAAGATTGTCTCTTTACTTGAGATTCTAGGATCACTTGTTCATAATCTCCAGGGTGAAATGACCTATTTGCAGAACTGTATTTGT